CCACCCTACGCGGCAGCCTTCGCCTCCGTGGCCGCCGACGACTTCCCCATCCCAGCTCGCATCGAGGCGATTCTCGCTGGCGTCACAGCCAGCGTCAACTGGTTCCAGGCTGGCGAGGGCGCGTCCGAGCACGACAGCACCTACGGCCAGTGCCAGTCCGAAGAAGACACCGCGAGCAGCCCCCAGGACCACTCCTACAAAGGGCTCACTTCTAATTCCTCTCATTTCCAATTCCGCTCAGTTTAAATTCCTCTGCGAATTGCCAATGAGAGGTGATGAAGACCTGCTCGCTTGCTTCCTAGGCGTGTCGCCTGCTAGCTACAATCTGATGCCACCAGCGGCCCTTGCATCGAAATCTGATACCGCCAGAAGCCCTTGGCATCGAAATCTGACGCGGCGGACGCCCTGGCGTCAAAATTTGATGCCGCCGGGGGCCCCGGCATCAAAATCTGATGCCGCCAGGGACCCCGGCATGAAAATCTGATGCCGCCAGGGGCCCCGGCATCAAAATCTGAGGCCGCCAAGGGGCCCTGGGCATCAAAACCTGATGCCGCCAGGGTCCCTGGCGGGGCCCCAGCATCAAAATCTGATGCCGCCAGGGGCCCCAACATCAAAATCTGATGCCGCCAGGGGCCCTGGCAATTAAATCAAATGCCGCCACGGGCCCGGGCATCAAAATTTTGATGCCGCCAGGGGCCCCGGCATCAAAATCTGATGACGCAAGGGGCCCCGGCATCAAAATATGATGCCGCAAGGGAGCCCGGCATCAAAATCTGATGCCGCCAGGGGCCCCAGCGTCAGACTCTAATGCCGCCAGGGGCCCCGGCATCAAAATCCGATGCCGCCAGAAGCTGGCAACGAAATCTGATGCCGCCAGGGGCCCCGGCATCAAAATCTGAGGCCGCCAGGGGCCCTGCCATTGAAATCTGATGCCGCCAGAGGCCCGGGCATCAAAATCTGTGGCCGCTAGGGGCCCTGGCATTAAAATCTGATGCCGCCAACGGCCCCGGCATGAAAATCTGATGCCGCCACCAAAGGCCCCGGCATCAAAATCTGATGCCGCCAGGGGCCCTGGCATTTAAATCTGCTGTCGCCAGAGGCCCTGGCATCAAAATCTGATGCCGCCAGGGGCCCTCAGATTTTGATGTCAGGGCCGCCGGCGGCATCAGGTTTTGATGCCACGGCCCCTGGCGGTAGTAGATTTTAATGACAGGGCCGCCCGCAACATCAAACTTTAATGCCGGGGCCCCTGGCGGCATCAGATTTTAATGCAAGGGGCGCTCGTGTCCCATCGAGGCCACGATCCCTTGAAAATAACCGGGTGCTCTTGCCATCGAGGCCACGACACCTTGTAAATCACGAGGTGTCCGCACCTTCTAGGCTACGATCTCTCGTACACTGCACCGCGCTCTCGCTTTCGAGGCCACGACCCTCTGTGGCTCACGGCAGGTTCTCGCCCCCTCCGACAGGACCAACGACGCGTCTCAGGAGAGCGCGCCAAGGCTTGCCTCCGGTGATGTTTGTCTGCGACGGGCGACCAACGCTGGGTCATTCTCATCGGTGGCGTTGCTGTCGTCGTCACCCTGTCCATCGCATCGCCTGCGCGTGAAACGCCGACGGAGGTATCCTCGCGCGCCCAGTCTCGAGGAGTGCAACATGTGAGCGCTGCTCATTTCTCATTTCTCCGGCGGGTTACAAACGAGACCCGCTCAAGGCCCCAGGCTGGAACTGCAATCACACCGAATTGGAAATGAGCCCTCTGTACCACCAGGAGGACTCCGACGGCTATCACCACGAGTAGCGGGCGCGGGCGCGGGCGCGCGCGGGCGCGGCGCGGCGCGGCCCGTGGCGCGCGCGGCCCGCCCCGGTGCCCTCCTCGGACCCGAGGGCCCTGGGGCACAGAGAGAGGAGGGGGAGGGGG